CACAGATATTTGGGATGAAAGTGAGTGAACATTAATCAGAATAACAATGCGCCTGTGTTGGTGGTTTTTGATTGCACTACACTATTTGCTGGTGGATGTAGCGTTGTTGACTCAATGCCAGAAACTCGATGAACAGGAGTAGCAGTGACAGCGGGACCGAAACTGGGTCTGGCCAAGAGGTAAATAGTTCAGGTGATCTGTATCAAACTACTTCGATGTGGTGAGTGGACTTCGATCACATGGTAAGATTCGGCCTGCCCATTGTCCCCCATATCTGCGGTGCAGGTCACCAAATGTCACTGGTGCAACATCACCATAGGATAGGTGTCGGAGACTATTGTCAGCACCGAGGTTTCTGTTAACAGCTATCATCAACTTGTGAAATTTAGGTTGACGAACACCAGCTTCTGCAATATTTTTTGGAGTGAATTGCGTTGTCAACCGGTGCTTTGGCCTTGTCACCACTAAATGTGGCTGTGCTCATGGAGTCAGGAACGTTGAGCGGCAGTAGTTTGTGCAAACTCGGTTTCACTTGTTTCGATTCCACTGTTGAGTTTATGCTGCCAAATGGCCTTGCAGGTGGGTTGGAATAGTCCTGAGCTACGTATTCGTAATGGGCACCTTGGAGAGTGGATGCTGAGGACTTGACGTTCTTGTTATGATACGGTTTCAATCGATTACTGGTGTTTTTTTGTGAGGCACCGTTCACGTAAGTAAATGCTTACGATCGAGACATTTGTCTACCAAGGAAAACATTTGTTACCTGTGACAGTGCGGCTAACAGTTAGCTTTCTGATCATAGTAGTTAAGGTAGATTGGTCAGTCGAACTCAGCCTAACGGGTGCCGGATAAGCGTGGGTCTTCTTGGATAATCTATTGGTTGTGACCAAGTACGGTTTTATGTCGGATGCAGCGCAAAGAGTATTTGCTGCCTCAAGAACGTCTACAGAATCTGATGTTAAGGACTAGAACAATATGAATAACATTGTGGTCGAGAGTTCTCTTGCAACCCATTTGGGTGGTAGCTCTGGATTGCTTTCTTGCTATGGTTCACAAGTGGTGAAGCCTTTATGATGAATACTTTTGCTCGATTTATCGGGAGCATGCAGTACCGACTCTCCGCTAGACCAGACCTCAGTCTGTAGTGTATGATGATGCCCTCCGACCGATGGTTGTGTTGCCCTTTCCATGTGTGCTGGGTATAACAGACCAACACCAGAACTAGGCCTTTGGTCATTCGACGAATACTTGGAAGTGTCTAAATCGACGTTGTCACTGGACAGACACGTTTTACAATATTTTCCTCCGTCGACTACTGAATCTTTCTGCTCGCAGGTGTTTCATCTTTCTACCAAAAATTTTTAGTTCATCATCTATAGCCACCACTGTTGCTGGATCCTCAGGCATACCTACTATAATGGGTGATTGCTTACAACGGGATGCAGTCTGTCAGCTGCAGTGTCACTTCTAAACTTGTCTTTGAGCCCATTATTGTTTTTTGGTAATGTGGAAGCAGTAGCTCACGCACAGGCAAGGGTGCTGTTGGGTGGCGTTTCTCGGTGTAGGTGAGAAACCTCTTGTCCTCGCCAGAGTTCTCTTTGCAAAGGCGTTTTATCTGCAACGGTTTTCAGTGACATAAACGTGGTTTTCTCAGAAATTTGGTCACCTTTTCCGATAAACTCGGTGGCAATCACAGCGCCTGCAAATTGAAACAGCATGGGGCAACGATGTTGTTGGATCTTATTTCTCAGCCTCGTGCAGTGGCACTGTACATGTGCCATATCGCTGACTTTAAGCAAAACGTTCCATATTGAATTGAGGGTAATTTCATCAGGAAGTACTGCACTTTTTGGACAATCTATTGTAGGATTTTGTGACTATCGTATCAACAAACACACACAGGAATTAGTTAATCTACCGCCAGACTGGTTTGGATTTGTATGAGATTAACCAATGGCTCAGTTTTATTAAGCACGAAGCGGAGATCATCAGTGGCTAACCATTTGGTTTTTAGATGATGGAATTCGTCACGAAAGCCTTGTAAATTTCCAGTGGTGCTGATATTAGTGTCAGAGAAGCCAACCTGGCTGCACTTGAATTTAGTTACTTTTTTAGTTCTAAGTAGCTTATCAGTAACTGCGGCTGTGATTGAACGTCGCGTTTTTACTGCAACAACGGATGGGTTAGTAGCAGTTGAATCCCCATGTTTCATAGTAATTTCTGGTTTCTCCTTCAACTTAAGTAGAGAAGTCGTTCTCACAGTGCTTACAAGCATTTCTAGTGAGTACTCGGTAGGGTGTTAAGATGGTGCACGTGAAGCTATTAAATGATATGCCTGAGTATCAGGGCACTCACAAGGGGATAAGTTAGATTATGGCGCACCGTTTCGAATGCAATATGCGGTACCCAGTGAAACTCTACAAACCAACAGTTAAGCTAGCCGATTACACATGGATTGTGCATACAATTTTGATGTCTTCTGCGAAAAGCAAAGCATGTCTACGAGCAATATGTAGCGCAGTATATATTTCTCAGTGCCCCATGCTGAGGTTGATGTTGCATTCTTGATGCTTCTTCACCGCAGTTGGGCTAAACCAACTTACACTTAAACTAGGTCTTTTTAAGCTGGATAAATTTCATTCCACTTTATTTGGTTTGTTCTGCCTACCTGAATGATCTTCTATTAACTGGCCACGTTGCTTACACTAATTGCGCTTATCTTCGGTAACTTTGTTGCGTTTGTAGCATTTGTAAGTAACTCGTGAACATTTCTTACTTCTCGCGGATATGTTGCTAACCAACTTACTTCATATGGTAATTTAGCGAAGAGTTATGCCACCGTATCTGTATGCATTATTGGATTTATTTCATTTCATTTTGTCGTTTCAAGTGATTGGCTGTTGCTTGATATCCCCGGTGTGGCTGCGCTTGATGTTCATGTTGACAAGGTGCCTACCTGTCTATTACCCACCATCTCGTTCATACGGGTTCCAGGAGACAGATGGTCGTTGCTAGAGGGGACGGGGCGCACGGTCCTTGTGGCCGTGCTAGGCTCGAAGACCGGTTCCATGCACTCAGTGTAGAGCGGACTACGGTCCAGCCACCGCCTTATGTGTGCTTGATTCCCCAAATACAGCCTGCTTGTGTTTGCCTGTGAGTGAGTGTGGGCCGGCTCCGTTGATGAAACGTGGCTCCCATCCACATGCCTCCCGGTCTTATTCCTTCGGGTTTACACTGGATATGGGGTGTGTGGTTGGAGCTGTGGGTGGTGCAGCGCAAGCCACCCATGGTCCCTCTGTAGGCGCAGGCGTCCTGTGGCTTGCCACAGTGACAGGCAAATCCGAACCCGGATGCCGCCAACCATATATTTCTCATCTACACAAGATATTCGAGGGTCATTCAATAAATAAGTTGAATTTTTCGGTTAAGGACGTCTAATACAGATAGAAGCATACTTTTTATTTATTTTTGTTGTTTTACTTCTTTTTCACATGGATGTAATTTCTTTTGTAGATTGAAAAATACTGAGAGAGTTGTAGCGATTAACAAAGATGCCCGACCAAAAAGCATACTCCAGGATTGAACAGCGGTCAGTTATCAAGTTTTTGGTTGCTGAAGAGTGCAAACCAGTTGAAATTCATAGGAGAATGTCAACTGTGTATGGTGCCACATGCTTCAGCCGAAAAAATGTCTACGAGTGGGCAAAACTGTTTGAAAAAGGACGGAGCAGTGTTAAGGATGAAGACAGGCCTGGGAGGCCTACAGAAGTGTGGTCACCTGAAGTGATCGAATCAGTCAATGACCTCATTCAGTTGAACAGAATGGGTGACAGTGGATGACATTGCAAGGACTTTGAGCTTATCTTTTGGGCCGGCACATAACATTGTCCATATCATCCACCGTCACCCTTCTGTCCGACTGAATGAGGTCATTGACTAATTCGATCACCTCATGAGACCTCACTTCTGTAGGCCTCCCAGGCCTGTCTTCATCCTCAACACTGCTCCGTCCTTTTTTAAACAGTTTTGCCCACTCGTAGACAATTTTTCGGCTGAAGCATGTGGCACCATACACAGTTGACATTCTCCTATGAATTTCAACTGGTTTGCACTCTTCAGCAACCAAAAACTTGATAACTGACCGCTGTTCAATCCTGGAGCATGCTTTTTGGTCGGGCATCTTTGTTAATCGCTACAACTCTCTCAGTTTTTTTCAATCTGCAAAAGAAATTACATCCATGTGAAAAAAATAAAACAACCAAAATAAACAAAAAGTAAGCTTCTATCTGTATTAGAAGTCCTTATACCGAAAAATTCACCTTATTTATTGAATGATCCTCGTAGATGAATGTCGTTAGGTGAACCAAAATGGGGTGTTTTGCTAAATTAACAACATGGTCTAGAAAGCCATCGCTGAAACGCAGGAGAAAGGACGGTAGGCGGAGTCATGGGTTTTATTACATAACCCGACATCTTAACATACTTATACACAGTATTCATGACAAGATAGTGACACAGCTTGGCTCTTTCACCATAAACGTGGGGCTTCGTTAATGGCCAGTTCCTTATCAAGGCGTAAGCCGATTGCCTAAACCACTCCATCGGTCTGCTACCAATTCGGTGGTCATGTCGTAACTGTTTAGCTGAACAACTCCGCCCTGCTCTGTATCGGTCCATGTTCTGTGCTTCAGTGAGAGGAAGTGCCAATTCCTCATAAGTCTGATGCTGCTTGGTGTGACTCGATATACATGCAGCCCACTTCTGTGTTGCAATGAACAGTGTGCCTTTTGCGAGCGGTACTCGAGCTTTTAATGGCACGCAGTGAAACCCACGCCTTTTCCGCAGATACGTATGTTTGTTATTTTTCACTACCGTATTGCCACTATGTAATAAACATTTTCCTTAAATTCGTTTCAGGCCGAACCTCATCCATGACCCTTTGCTTGTCTCGCCTGCATTTTGCGTCGATGTCATCACCCTCTATTGCCAGTTGGACCGCCTATGTACACTTTCTTTACGGAGCTGATCAATTACGTACATATCACATCCTTCGAGTTAATCCTCCATGTCATCAGCATTCTCATAAGCTCTGTCTTTTTGGCACTTCATACTGAGGGTGCCTCTGTCAAAGGCACTTTCGATCGTGAGACCTCACTTTGGTTTGTATTTCTGCCCTTATGGGCTGCCGACGTCGTAACCGCCTACTTCAATTTCCTTGTGTATTCCCGGCATGTCCTGTTCTACAAGGTGAGTCTTCGATTGGTGCCTTTATGGACAACTGTATACCTTTTCTGAACTTTCCAATTTGAATTAATCGCTTTAAACTTCGTGGCAATAAAATTCACACCAGTCTTCGTGCTTATCATAGTGCAATAGTCCATGTTCCTCGGGAACTGCGTTTCATCAGCGGAGCCGCGGCGCACATTCCTGCAACATGCTTAATAGCGGCAGCCTTCCTGTCTATCTATGGAGCGAAACGTGCGTACCAAACCTACACTTTGCGGTGAATGGGTGGTGGTCCTTTCGGCGCTGGGAGGAACCACTCTTCACGATTGGCACGGTTACGAGGACTGTGCGCATTCTCCCCCACCCCCCAACAAAGATTAGCAGTCTCCGGGAGCCGGTAATCAAGGTGGCTATTCTTAGGCAGGTAAGCACCTTGTCAACATTTAGATTAAGCGCAGCCACACCGAAGATATCAATCAACTACCAACACCTGAAATGCGTGAAACTCAACACGCAGGCACACGTAATAACCAACCGCAGCGATGATTTTGCACACGGGTCACATCTACCGCATTATTGGCCTAGTTTAGTAAATTGAATCGTAAGCAACCTACTTACCAAGCGCTGTGCTGATGATGATTACCAGTTCACTTGACTCGTCGCCTCTTTAACGGTGACTTACTAAGCCGGGTTGGGTCAGCCACTCGCGACCGGCGTCAACAGTACGCCGGTACGCATTACCGTTGCTTCACTGCCGCACCATTACCAACAGTCACACATAGGCTAAGGATATTGCGAGGGTCGTCCGATCCCTACGCAGGCTCAAACCTGCGCCTTCGCGACCGTATGTGCTGCATCACGACTTCGATGGGGTAAACCCCATCGGTTCCCGTCACTTCCGTACTCGGCGTTTCTTCTCCGCATGTTAGTGGGCTTTCTGCAGCACCTGCGCAGCCCGTTCTTGATGTGCTCTCGCCATCAGCGCCGACCCACTGTCATCGCTTCCCAACACCTGAAACCGATATTAGTTTGTGATAAACTCATCTTGATCATGTACTGGTAACGTAACTTCCGTTTTCCCACATTCCGCTTCCCTGCACTCAGTTGGTCATAAGGCAGCTATTTCGGTATCCGGGTCGAACACATGTGGCTACTATACCCGAGACATCTCAGGTGCCTCAGTAGAAGTATGCAATTCACTGCATACATGCCACTGCGGCGGAGCAGCTCGGTCACTGAAGCCGATGAGCAGAATACGACGCATGCACTGCTGTTGAAATCGCTCTATATAACGGATGTCCTTCCGATAAAGCGTCCAGGTTTCACTGTCGTATAAAAGGACAGAACCATCGACATGTCTACCACCAGCTTTGTGTTATGGTGTTATAATCGCGGTTACTAGGACATAGAGCCGTCAGCACACTCATCGCCCCGGACAGTGTATTGACCAGATGTCATGTCACATGAAACAGTCCGGACAACCGACAATATAGGTTAAGGTGAGTGTGTGTCAGACAGGCCGCTCGCACAGTCGCCAGCTTCATGTGAATGAACCACAATAGAGCAGTGCGTGTGCCGTTCAAGCTCAGGAGTGTGGGACGGCGTTGTATTTTTAAGGCACCGGATCGCCTGGCGAAACATATCCTTTGAAAACACGTTCTCCAGGCTCGTGCGAATGAAATGCTGGGTGCACCTGTAAACACCGGACAGGTTTAGTTGTCCGCATAAGTCTCCGAGTGACTCAGTGGCATTGCTCTGTGCGCGTTTCCGTCGGCTCACTGAGCTCCACGGTTTTTGGTATTTCAAACGTGTCCAGCCGGAAATCGAACGGCAACTCAGACCTAGAAGAGATTGTGTGTTCGATCCGTCGTTTGCGTAACTAACGTGCCGAACGAAAGACAACGGTCCGATAGACACGTCGTACAAAGCAATGTTACTCGCCGCGAGCCGAACCGTCAGCCAAGCGCCCGTGCGTACAAGGCAGCCGAATACTTCAAATTAAGGCATAAACACAGACTATGTAGAAAGGCTGACTTTCGGTCAATCAACGCTGATCAGTTTAACGGCGAAGGATCGATAAGATGCCTCGCGAACAAGCGAAATACACAGAGTAAGCGAAAAGATAATAAGCATAAGATTCAGTGTCAATACAAGCTAATCACAGATGGGAGGCAACAGGAACACGTATGCAGGGAGCCGTAAAAGAGGGCGGGATGAATAGGGTGTGAATGAGACAAAGTCACGAAACATCGAGGATTGGTAGAGCTTTCTTATCCGTGCTATAACACCTCTTCCCTCTTGAAAAAATAACAAATTCAACTTCACGTTTGGTCAATATGGCTTTTCTGACAGTTATGCACTTGGAATGACCGAACAAGCCTTTTTCTCCTTTTTGCTTTCCTCATTATTCCATTCTCTGGACGTTCGAAAGGTTGCGTGTGTCGTCTGACAAAAGTGCTCGCCTGACTATTATCCAGCGGTTATGTAAGAGCAAGTCCATTAGTATCACATGTTTTCTCCACACAGCGCGGCTTGATTTGATTTGCATGGCGGATCTATAACTGCGCACCAATGCGGATCTCGTATATCAGCTGACCATGACGCCGCACGACAAACCCAAGTATCTACTTGATGCTGTGCCCCTGCGGATAAGTAATAGACACCGGGGCTCCAGCTTCAAATTTATGGGTCCTGCTCCGTGTTGTCTGTTGTACTGGTTTTCCGTCATAGAATTAGTGCGGCGTATCGGTGGGCGTTTTGGTGCCGACAAATCCAGAGTGGTCCTCAGCCTCCGACCAATCAGTATCTCAGAAGGTGCCTACCCATCTGGTGCTTTGGGGTTCGATTTAATCCGATAATACAATAAAAATCTTTCCAGCCTTACGTTTAGTGCTCTTTCACCCTCGATTTCAGCAGCGCCCGTTTCAGATTGTCCTCAAACCACTCCGCTTGCCTGGTGCGATTCTCATGCATTCGATTCCGTTATGTTCACAGAACTCGGCAAACTGCTAATATGTGAACTGCGATCCGTTGTCTGACACAATTGTTTGTGGCCGTTCATGTTGACTGAAAATATGCCTCTCACCACCGTTCCAAGATTCATTCGGGGACTTCCGGTCCGTTACCTCTTGATTCATATTTTGGCAACAAATAGCTAAATGACAGTACTAGGGTTCTCTAGGATCTGAAGCTTCAGTCATTTTTGGTCATGGTTGAAACTGAACAGCCTGTAGCATTCAGATGCAATTCCCTGTAATGTCAGTATCGATTCCTATTCCCGTTCACCTTGGATGTTTGGCTTCTATGATAACAACTCAATTAACTGCCGCTGAGACTTTTCCAACTCCTGCTGATGGAGTGACTGCAATTGCTCGTATGAAATAGCCGTGAATTTCCATCACTTCCGTCGCCATTAGTATTATGTCGGCCCACAGCTGCTTCCGCCCACTAACGGTAATGCGAACACGAACGGCAATCCTGGTGCAAAACAATGTTACTCGCTGCGAGCCGAACCGGCTCATCAGTTCAATGGAGAAGGATCGATAAGGTGCCTCGCGAACAAGCGAAATACACAGAGTAAGCGAAAAGCTAATAAGCATAAGATTCAGTGTCAGTACAAGCTAATACAAATGGAAGATAACAGAAACACCTATGTATAGAGCCGTAAAAGAGGGCGGGGTGCGTAGGGTGTGAGTGAGACAAAGTCACGAAACAACGGGAGTTGTCTTACCCGCACTATAACACCCTTCTCTGCGTTATTTTGGTCGTCTTGCATTCTGTTTGCTAACGCTCCACTTGAAGTGGACTCGGTTTTCACTGTACTGGGTGTTAGATTTACTGTTGAGAGTTTCTCAGTGAGTGCTTGCAATAGCAATGTCTGTCTTTGTTTTTGTTTAAGCATAGCCCGCTGTTCCTGCTCGATGTAATATTGCTGCTGTTGTAACAATTGGGTTAGCTGTGAATGATCAACAATCTCCGTCGCCAATGTTAGCATCGCGCTTAATGGAGCGTAGTGCCGTCATCGCACCGGACAGTGTATTGACCAGATGTTGAGTCACATGAAACAGGCCAGACAACCGACAATATAGGTTAAGGTGAGTGCTTGTCAGACAGGACGCTCGCATAGTCGGAGGCCTCATGCACGTGAACCACAGTAAAGCAGTGGGTGAGAATGAAGTTCACGGTCAGGGGTGTGGGACGGCGTTGTACTTTTAAGGCACCGGATCACCTTACATAGCACAATGGTCAGTTGTTTATTGTTCCACACCCGACACTCCAGTCTTCCAAACGCGACAGTCGCCTTCGCTAAGCGGATGCGCAGCTCGCTCGTTATCTGCAGGTCGGTTGGTATCACGCTCCCAAGGTAGTAACTTTTCGACGCCGTCTTCACCACGTCATCACAACCTGGATTTGAGGCACGGCGGGAAATAGACAAACAGTCTTGCTTGTATTGACAGCGAGCCCAAATTTGGTCGCTGTTATCAAATGCCACAAACGCGAAAAAGTTAACGATGATAACCACAATCTGCTTAAGCGATGTATGTAAGAGTAGTTTAAGACATAAATTTGAATGACTTAACAAAGTGAGTATTTACGAAATATGGCAAACCAATCACCTGAAATAACGAAACTCTACACGCAATCGCGCCGTTAGTAAATCGATTGCAGCGTAGTTACCAACACCGCGCCGGTTCTGCTAACGTTCTCAGCAGGACCGTTCATCGTAGACGTTAAAATGCGGTGAAACTATAAGCATTAAGACAAGATAGGAGACCCGGCACCTAAAATAAAGGAACTTAGCACGTAAGCACGCGGTTAGTAATTCTAATGCAGCGTACCTACCAACGCTTAGCCGGTTCTGTTTACGTTCTCAGCATCACCCATCGTCGTTTCGAAGCTGGTCCTGAGTGGCCTCCCTCGTGGCTAACTAAACCTGCCTGACTCAGACACTCGCGACCGCATGTGCTACAGCACCATACGCTCGACGTCGATGGAGTACAGCCCATCGGCGCCTGTCGCTT